TTCATAGGATGTGACTCTGTGGGAAGCCCTTGCTGGAGCAGGCTTGTGGCAGGACCTGTGGACGCATGGAGAGAGGAGCCCACGCTGGAGCAGGTTTGCTGGCAGGAGCTGTGAACCTGTGGGGGATCCACGCTGGATCAGCCTGTTCCTGAAGGGCTGCACCCCAGGAAATGAACCCACACAGGAGCAGTTCATGAAGAACTTCAGCCTGTGGTTTCCCATGGACTCACATTTGAGAAATTCATGCAGGGCTGTCTCCTGTGGGAAGGAGCCCAGGCTGGAGCAGGGACAGAGCGTGAGGAGGAAGGAGTGGCAGAGACAATGTGTGATGAACTGAGCGCAACCCTCATTCCCCATCCCCCTGTGCTGCTCAGGAGGAGGAGGTAAAGAAACTGGGAATTAAGTTGAGCCTGGGAAGAAGGGAAGGGTGAGGGGAAGGTGTTTTAAGGCTTATTTTTTATGTCTCATTATCCTACTCTGATTTGATTGGCAATAAATGAAATTAATTTCACTAAGTCGAGACTTTTTTGCTTGTAATAGTAAGATAGTAGGGAAGTAGCCAGCACTGAGATTCAGAAAAGCCTGCTGGAGTCATAGGGGATTCTTAGATAACCAAGACAAACCATTATAATATCATTTTCTTTTCACAAACTCTTCCTCTCCTCTCCAGCTTCTAGTCCAACATGGCAAAAGATCTCAAGCAACCCTACCCCTTTCTTAGTTATATGAATGTATTTGGTAAAGGGGACAGGCCGTATTTCTTTCCCATGTACCTGCATTTAGATAGGCTTGCTCTGCGTTCTCCTGATAGGTGTGATTGGCAGGGGAAGAAGCTAGATTTAGCTAGGGCTCCTTTCTAAAAATAGGTAATCAATTTCAGTTCAAGCCTCTCAGGTTATAGGGAAAGAAAATGATTCTGCCTGGGACCATAATGAGCTTGGATAATCAGTTTTCCTGTTCGAGAGCAATGAATCTAAGTGTTTAAAAGGAGTGTTACTAAAAGGAATAAAATGGCAACTCACTGGTAGGCCTGTTTACTAAATTCAGCAGTAGAATCTGAAAGCTTCTTAGTAATGTAGCCCACTCCCCTTTTCTGCCCAGAGCTGAGAGAGTCCACTGTCGATTTGCAAGGAGATGTTGCTCTTAAACCTCTCTCACTGTTTCCAATTGCAGTGATCCCATCCATCTCTGATGCTAGGTGGTTGCCCTTGGCAGCTTCAGTCCATGAAGCCTTGGTTCTGTCAGAAAGGAGTCCATAGGAGAGGAGTCCCCAAGAGAAAGAGAACCTTGAGGAACAGACCTTTTCTTCTTTCGTTTTATTTTCATGCTCCACGGTTCGTTTGCTTTATCACTATCAAGGGGAATACAACAGGTAATTCCTAACCCTCAAACCCACCATTCTCTATTGATCAATAAGTGTTTTAAATGCCTTTAAACTTAAGACACAATTGTATTTCAACCCCAGTACCTCAGAGTGAAATCCCTGAAGTCAATTCAACCCTTTTGTTGTGATCTCTAGCCACTTCAGGCACTGATGGATTTCTCTTTTATCCCATTATAGGCAGGATCAGGAGTAAATACTCCATTCTTTTAGGAATACCGGGATACTTACCTCAGGATAGATACAGCTCTGAATTTAAGTTTTATTTCAGTGCAAGCTCTGCAGCATAAGGATCGAATTTAATAGCAGGCTGAAGACTCTGATAAGAGTTCATGCAGTGAATATCTCCTGTCCTTACAGTGTTACTATTTCTTTAATGAGCCATTAAAGTCATTCACAGTGGAGATACCAATGGCTGGATTTGTTCAGGATAGCATGAGATAGGCAGAAGTCAGAGGGTTAAATGAAAAGAAAGAAAGAAAATAAAGATCGGATGGAGAATAGGAAATCTTTATTAAAACTGATATCCTACAAAATGATCTGTGCCTCTACTGCAGGATGAATAAGCCTAAACTGGGAAATACCCATTACTGTAAGAGAAACTAGAAGGTATGAGGAGAGTGCTGCAGAAGCTTGGATGCAATTGGTCTCTTCTATTTCAAACTGCTTTAGTATGATTATATTTCAAGTGCATTGACTGTTTATAGTTGACTGAAACAGTTCTTAGATAGCTATTTTGGTGAATGGTTTAGGTAAACCAAAGAACCCTTTCGTTTTTATCAAGCTCTGCCTGACAGATAAAAATACTGGCTCAGAGCTGCCACCCGATGACCAGACCTTGTAAAATCAAATACAGGCTACCGATGTTGCGAAGCACCGAGTTCAGTGAGAATACAGCCGAGACCAACTAATTTCCTACTGTATAGAAAAGGCAGTGAAAGGCCATTTCCCTCCCACTCCCTTTCCACTCCTCTTCCCCCAAATCTGCATTCCCCATCACTCATTGCCATGCCTGAAACATGGTCCTTTGCTTAGAAAATTTAATTTATTAAAACCTTAACTTTGTTTTTTCTTCTGTATTGATTTTCTGCTGGTTTATCAAGTTGAACCAGTTCAGAATGTGGGCAGGGAAGTGTCAGCACCAGCACAAAATAAGAAGGAACGAACTGCTAAGAACAGAAGAATGGGCAGAAGGGAGATTTCAGCTGCAGTGAGCACTTATTTCAGCCCTGTCCTTGCCTTAACTGCATCTGACATGCTACTTGGAGATTCCAAAGCTGGCTTTAAATACCTGTTTGGGTACCCAAAGCACTCTGATCAGCACAGAGGAGTGCCACACAGGGTAATAACGGTCCTTGCCAAGGTTCTGACTAAATTAGTCTGTTCACCACTCAGAAGCTTCAGGTATTGATTGCTCCCTGTAGCTGTGCTGTCTCACTGAAAGCTATCATCTCAGTTATCTCTGCAGCTTTCAGTGTGTCACCTATCAGAAAGTGTTTTCCCTGGCACGGCAGTAATATTTGGCAAAGCAAAGAGGATTACGGGGGATTGCCACATGTATGTCCATTTGGCAACAAATAGCTGTCGCCCATTTCAGTGCATTATACAATCTGTACTATTGATGTGCTTATAAAAATAGTTTAGCTTGTAAAAAATTACTTTAATTCACTGCGGGAGGCAAGCAACACAGTTTGTGGCAGCGTGTAGGGGTGCACCAACAAGACCTTCCAGGCTGTTTCCCTTCTGATCTAGTCTTTTCATGAGCCTTTCATCAGTAGCAAAAGGCCTTCGCTCCAAGCTGTATTATAATCCTTCAGTCTGCCTGCCCTTATGTCTGTTTCTAATGTCTGTTAGAAATAGGTCTGTAAATCTGTCTGCTGATTCAGCCTGCGTATTATGTGTATTAGCTAACTGTGCCCTGAACTGCCTGCTTCCAGTACACCAAACAACGTCAGTGGATTTCTGCTCAGCTCCATCTTTTTTGGATCAGGACCTGCTGTGCTCTCAGAAGACAGCATTTATTATGTACCTGCAATTATGTTGGCCATCATTGCTGGATACAACACAGAGGACAGGGTGTTCCTACAAAGCTGTGCTGCTCAGCTGGAGTGGTGTGTGCTCAGAGAGGAGCCACTTCGTGCTAATGTACAAGGAAAACCGATAGGGAGGTTTCTACAAGCTGCCATTTGGCCAGTCTACTTCATTTGAAAAACTTGGACATGTGCCTGGAAACACTGGAATTCTAAATGGTTAATTATTGGTGGTGGAAAATGATTACCAGTTGATTATCATTAGTTAAATTTTAACCTCCTTCACTAATTTTATGAAGTTAGCATATTGCTATCTAATCACTAGCTGATGAAGGATGAAGTAACAATCCTAATTCTGCTCCAAAACAGTTCATATTAGGGAGCAAAGCATCAATCTTTTAAAATGGTGAAAGCTTGGGACCATATGGGAAAGATCAGGGTATCACTATTCTCAGACATTCACTTTGTGATTGCTACACCAAACTGCTCCGCTTTGGAGCTGGAAGGCAGGATCCTGCAATATCAAGGCCATTAAACACTGGGAGAAAAACACATTAGAAAGCCCGGAAGACTCTGCATGTCCTGCATCATTCAAGCCCTTGGGTGGTCCTTGCTTACTATCTAGATACACCCTCTTCAGATTGTGCAGACTGATGCATATGCTTCTCTGAGAGATGCCTGAGTTAGAGAAGGGGCTGACAGAGGCAAGTAGGGCTTATGAGAGCTTCAGTAAGGGTCCATTCACTTTGCAGGGTGATTTGTAAATTGGAGGCTTCTTGCAGCTTTCCTTTTCTCTTTAGGCAGAATAAGCTGGGGCGTTTTGCATTGGCTAGTCCTGCAAATAGTGTGGGCTTTAGTGAATACCCTGATGCCTCCTCTTCTGCTGCTCCCTGCCAGGGTAAGAGCTTTCCCTGAAATCCTCCATGTGCAACAACAAAACCAGAGTGGTGGGCAGAGAGGAGAGCCTTCTCCTACTCCACTTAGGAATCTGATGCCAACCATATGGAGTTGTGCTCAGGTTATTGAGTGGACACTGGTGCCTTTCTGGCAAGAGAGCTTGAATTTACCTTGAAAGCACCAACAGAGAGTTGGTTCTTTGCTTGGTGTATCCAGCTGTGTACATACAGCTCTGAAGCTTCCCTGCACAGGGTTTTTACAGCCTTCAGTGTGGGGAAGGGTAAACACCATTCAGGTTGTTGGACAACCCTGGTTTACTCCCAGTGCATCCTCCATACTTCTCTCAGAACTGCTGGGCAGCTGCCAAAGTATCAGGAATCTTCTGGCAAACATCAGTTTGCACATATGCATGTGCACCTCCCTGCCATCGCCCTCTTACACCACTCACAGGTCCTACTCCACCTGATGTGCTGAGCAGATGAATTTCTATATGTCCCCCTCTCACCACCACATCCTTCTGCAAGGGCACGTGCCTCACACACTGATTAGGCCCATCTTACCAGTGACCAAGAGTGGTATTTTTGGTATTTGTATTCAAATCTGTTTTGCATTGCTTTCCCCAAAGCCACCCTAATTGAGAGGGAAAGAGCACCAGCAACATATCTAATGTTGACAAACTAGCAAGCAATAAGTTACTGCTTTAAATGGAGATTTATTAGCTGAGGAAAAAGATCCCTCGCTGAATGCACTCCAGAAACCTTCATCTTCTAAGACTTGCTTTATTTCTTCCTGTATTTGTCCTGCAGTGCTTTCTGTAGGTTAAGATTTAGGGCATTTTTCTCACGCCATTTTCCTGTAAAGAAGGCAAATCATAGTTCAGTTACAGCCTCCCTTCCAATGCTAATATTCCTCATGGATTTTTCCAGCTGTGGAGCTCCTCTCTTGTGAAAATTACAATTTCTAGTCCCCATACACCTTTGCCCAAATGCATCCATTGTCCTTGGCAGAAGCAGCAACTATCTCAGGAATTCAGCAATGTATTTTTCCTGGCAGAAGCCATACCTAGCTCATCAGTCCTCCTTCCGTACCAGTTTTTGGGATCCCTGATTACTCTCTGAGTTATGTCAGGGGTGTAGGAATCTTTCATCAAGCTTCGGCTTTCCAGTGGGCCACCTGCAAGGAACAGCAAATAAGGAACTGTACATAGAAATCATCCTACTGCAGTCCTGGAATTGAGCAAGGGAGTAACATCAGCAGTTTCAAGGGCTCATCACCCAGGAGGGAGCTTGTGTTTTGACAATTTTATTTGCTTTTCCTCCTCATGTATGAGACACACACAGAGGGTGCTGCAAGGTATCATCTGTATTTGCATCCCAGTGCCCTTTCTTTATTCAAGTGCCCACTTATTTCCTGTTGAATCCTCTCAATTCATGTGAGTAACTTCCTATTCAGCAGCACAGCTCCACAAAAAGCACCATCTTACCACTTCAGGTACCTACTTGAGCTCCTTGTCTGCCACAATACTTAACAAACAGATCCCAGCTGTGACTTCTCTTTTTTATCCCCTCTTGACTTTAAGCCATTTGAGGGGCTTTATTTTAATTTCTCATCCTTTCCTCTTCTTCTTCCTTTTTATTGTACCATTTCCTTGATAATAATGATTTTGTGCTCCCTAGGGTAAGATGTCTTTCCTTTCTGCATGACTACACATAACCAGGACAATATTGTCTTCAATACCCAGCAAGGCTACAGTGTAAGGAAAATGACTCTGTCTCATGCTGGTACATGAGAAATTGGAATCAGAAGACAATTATTTCAGAGTTTCTTGGGTATGATGGTAACAAGAAGGGGTGAATGCTTAATTCCCAATCTGGGGACCTTGGAAACAGAGGTTTCAGGAAGACCTTTCAGAGCCCCACATCTCTAAAGGTTTTGGAGAGAAGTAATTTCAATATTGGAACTGGAGATAACAGGCAACATTGAATTTCAAATGGTGTCCATTTGGTCAGCTCTAAACATGGAGGACACGGGTCATGATATACCTTCATTTTTCACTCCTTGGAAAGAAAGGGATAGGATACATAGAAAAGGAGGCTCTTGCTTTCATTTCCTCAAGCACCACAGTGTGGAAGTGACTGGATGGAAAGAATAAGAGGGGAAAGTGAGGGTCACCTACAGTCAGATCTCTACTCAAAGCAGTGTGGCTGCCCTGAGCCCTGGCAAAGTGTAGATGGAACCAGCTTTGAAGGTCGAGCATAGGTGTGTATCCTCACCTTGGAAGATATTTGATCTCAGGTTAAACCCCAGATGATTGTAATCAGTAAGAGATGCAGAGTTTGAGGAGGTTTTTTGCATTCCAGTGCGGTCGCTGAGTCTTTTCTGTCCCATGATTAATGCTGCTTTGCACAGAGCTCGCCTATCCTGATAACACAAACAAGACAGAATCAGTCAGTCCACGTTCCCAAAATGCAGCAAACTCCTGGCATTTCCACCCCTGTATAGATCTTTGGGCTACGACTAATCCCTGGGACCTGGGTCTGTCTCCCAGTCTCCCTCACTGGCTTCTGTAGGCACTATAATTGCATGGGATGAGGAGGACTGGTAAAAAGCATGAGGGGGAGGGATTAGAAAGGGATGATGGTGCTGAGCTCTGCACTGGGTCCTGATACCACATTGTTTTGCCTTGCTGAGTTAGGGCTTTGCTTGGCTACAGGAACCTTATAAATGAAAAGGGGATGGAAAAACAAAGTTAAAGAAGACATGGGAAAGGCTGTCTATGGAATGTGTCACTGCCCTGTAGTGTGAAACCCAAATCCATTCCCCCACATCTTCTAGAAACTGCTAGTATACAGCTAATATCCCACCCAATCAAGCACCTGCTATACCATACAAACAGCCTTCAACCTTGCCACAAAGGATACAATACCTCTTCTTCACTGGTAACTACATCTGCAGTGGCAAATTTATATTTCCTGTTAGCACAGATCAAATTGTTTTTCTTTGCCAGAAGGGGGTTCCATTCTCCTTTCATATCTGTCCCTAATGATGTTAAGGATCCTTTGGCACTTAATGCGCTGTCCATCTCCTTGGCTTTTTCATAGCTGTCTTTGACGGTCTTGTGAGAAGATCCAAGCCTTCGAGCACTCAGTGTTTGCTGCTTGCGCGCTACTAATTTTTCTGCCTCCCCCTGTGTAGGTATTTCAGACAGGCAGGAAGTGCTCTTCTCCCCTGTTGGCTCAAGCCCCACTACTGGGTCTTTGGTGGCAGAAGTGTCTTTTTTCTTTTCAAGTCCTCTTGAATGAGGACTCTCTGCAGGGGGAGTTTTGGCCTGGAGATTCTGTTTGCTCTGTTTTTTAGTCTGAACACACTTTGTAGAAAGAGATGTCTGGGATTTAGCAGGTGCACGATTCTTTGCTGTTCCCTGAGCTCTGCTGGAGCTCCTTTGGGGTGTTCTGTGTCTGCTTTCTGGAAAATGCTCCTTTTTCTCTTTTTCAGGTTCCACTTAAAGACAAAAATAAGAGATCAACAAATTTGATACCATTGTGATGACAGGTGGTACTGTAAATGTTACTGGAAAGAACTGGGTATGTCATTGTGTCATTGTTAGATGACAAAAGAAACAGGAAAGGTCTCAAAAGAAGGAACGAAAAGACCCCAACAACCTAGCAGCATTACCCCAGTCTTTCTGCTGAACCAGGTGAAGGTTCCTGAAGAGTCTTAAGTGCTCTTAAGAGATGAACATGCACAGAAATGTGGAAGTAAAAATCTTGTGGTCAAACATGCACACAAAGGTCTGTGTTTTGTTACGTGTAGGGGTCCTTCTAACCCATGATCACGATCACTCTTGTGAACATACACTTACAGTCTCTCTGGCTCATCGTATTTGCTGAAGAATTTACAGCATATCAGTGGCTTATTGTGCTTGTGCAATGAGGTAGTGAGGTAAGTCCACCGGTGGAGGAAGACATACTTGGGTCGGGTGGATTTTAACCCATCAGCTATGGCACATGGGATCCCTGTCCAAGGAGTTTTCACCCACAAACGTACATGCAAATCTGGATGGCATGAAGGGAGGGAATGGCACACAGCCTCACAACCTTGCAAGGCAGGCTCTGAAGGAGGGACAGCTTCTCTGCCATCTTGCTTACCTGAAGTATGGTTGGCCAGCTTAGAGCCATTCTCTGTCCCATCAGGTGCACAGGGATTTGGAACCTCTAGCACACGCTTGGAAGAGCAACAAAACTGTGTTAGCCCCAGAGACAGAAAGGAAGGGGACAGCAGTCCTGCTTATCTTTAAATGATACAGATTATTCTCAGAGGTATTATACGCCTTCTAAACCAAGCTAGAGCTGTCCCTACCTGCCTGCGTGGTTGGTCCTACAACATATGATTCAGATTAAAACAAGCAGCAAAGTCCTGCAGGATTTCACATTAACAGCTCACATGGGATAGCCTGCCTAGGACATGGCCAACTAGTGCCTCTGGGGAATGAAAGAGCAGACACAAGCCAAAATGGAAAAAAACCTCAGTGAAAATGTAAGGGATTTTTATTCTAAAGTACCTAGGCTTGTCAGATTGGTCACGTGCTGTACAATTACAACAATTCCTTCTTTTGGTGCCTTAAAGTAAGGCCAGAAAAAATGGGAAAGGAGGTGATAAACATAAAATGCCTGTGCAATGCTAGCTATGCAAAGGAAAAGAGACAGTCTGGAGACAGGACTTCTGCCTTGATTCTGGCACAGACTATCCCTTGTTTTGCTTTGCTAGTCCTGCTGATGGAACTGATCCAACACCCAGCCTTTGCAAACAGCCTCCTGCACTAAGAGGAAGCTCATGTCTTTTCTGCAGAGGGAATGTCTGTTTAACCCTCAGTCATGTCTTCCCAATGTCTGTGTTCCTCAATCCAGCAGGATCCTACAGGCTTAGCCCATGTGAAACCTGTGACAAGTTACAATTGAAGCCAAGGCCCTCAGTGGTCAATATGGAAATGGTGAGCCTGCAAGCACTAGCAGCAGTGCAAATCACATCTGGCTCAGACAGGGATATATGTTTGCATTTGTCAAATGACATATATCCTTACTTTCTGCTCCTGAGGCTAGTTGTTAGAATGAAAACACCAGCCAATGGAGTAGGAAACCTACCACTTCAAAGTTAACTCACCAGGGCTGACTTGAACTGACAGCTTGTGTGTTACACTGTGCCAGTACTTTCCAGCAGCATTTGTGGTACACTACTAGGATCCTAAAGCTGAAGTTAACTCTATCAGTTAGACTTCAGGAGTCAGCGCTGTGTGCTCTGCAAATGCATTAAAAGACAACATCTCTCCCACAGAAAGAACAGGGTCACAAGAGATGAAGAGAGGAAGGCAGTCTTGGCTCAAAGGGCACGATCTGCTGCTTCTCTGTATCGCTTTTTATTCTTTTTAAAGAAGAGCCAAACATTTACACATGATCAAAGTGCAGGAATCTGTGCTGCTAAATAAACTCCTGTTATCTCCCACCTTCTACTTAAAACAAAAACATGTTCAGTGGAAAGAACTTCCCAGTCCACTGTTGCAAAAATTCCTCCTTTCCCACTTCTTCCAATGAAGCAGAATTTCTGCATAATGAGGCAATGTGCTCATTTCCCAAATCCCATTCACTGGTAGCTTCCATTTCCCCAGTTCCTCCTGCACAAAATGATACTGAAGCCTGCAACTGTTCCTACTTTCTAGTTTGTAACTGTATATGATGCTATTGTTATTGCCTATTGTTCATTTTTACTTCTGAGCCTGAAGGTTCAAAGCCAAAGCACCACTCCGAGACTCCTACATCTTGATGCCAAGAAGGACTTTAAGGACATTTTACCACCCTCCTGGATAACAGAAGCTACAGAACTATGTCTACTTATTCCTTTGCTAAGCCAATTCTATAAGGGACAACTGGCTACATACCAGAAAAGACATATAGTGATTAAAGAGCTAAAATTTATTTAACTTGATCTTTCTTTCTAAACGAAAAAAGCCCATAAGCAAACAAAAAAATGCATGTTTAGCATAGCCTAACACTTGACTTCCCTGATGTGCAGCCATGGAGAAAAGAGGGAGCTGTCTTCTGCAGACAGAAAATTAACCTCCTCAGACAGGTGTGGAAATCATATGCCATTCTCTTCAGCTGTGGTCAAGAATGGTCTCATATGCCTTCCACATCTGGCTGGGCCTCCAAAATATGAGATTTCAATGACTTTCCAGACCTGAGAGGCCTCATGGGTATCAAAATTACATTGGATCTTTTACCCCTTTCTTGTTTTTTAAAAAAGGAAAAGATCCAGGATTTAATAAGAGGCAAAGCCTCTTCTGTAACTACCTCTCTCACCTGGTCCATGATGTGGTGTCACAGCAGGCAGGTGGGTACTGCTGAAGTCCAGGTATAGAGGTGGGATAGGGGCTGAAGAGATGGTTGCTGGGGAACAGCCCTCCCTCTGTCTATGAGCTGTCATCTCTATGGGAACCAGAAGAAACATGGCAGAGATCAGGGTTCTCCTTGCTGACTGAAAAAAACAAACAAGGAGTAGCGTAAAAGGCTCATGTCTCATTAAAAACCTGTGCTCAGAAGCTCTTATCACATACACAGGATTTCTTGAAGCCTCTTTCAACACAGTCATGATAACCAACTAGACTGTATTTCAGCAGAACTGGATCTTCTAGCATCTCCAAATGCTTCACATGAGCTCACTGACATCCATCAGAGAGGAAGAAGAAGATGCCCATTTTTCACATTAGAAAAAGGGAGGTGGTGGGCTGGCTAAAGCTAATGACAGAACCACAGCTTGGGCCTCCTGTGTCCAGCACCCAGTGCTGTATTTTAGCCCCAAAGTTTTCATTCATTCTGGTCCACCATGGACCTGAGCTCTCACCGCTGGAGAACATCTTTAAGTCACCAAGGAAGAGTGCAACTTTCTGTCATGTTACAAAGCTGCTTTTCCCACCCAGGACAAGTAGATCACAGGCCACAGAGAATTAGAAATATTCACAGATGCATCATTTTAGAATTAGACTTTATTCATTGTGAGATACTGAAAGATCAATAGAAATCTACAGATCATTCTTAAAAAAACTAGCAGAATACAAACCAGCACGTGTTTTCTTTACTTCTATCTCCTCCCTTGCCCTGTACCCTGGGCTGGAGGTAGCTGCTAGGTCTCATTGCCCAAGAAACAAGTGTCTCTCTAGGCCTTGTTGCGCTTCATCTCAGAGACCTTGTAGCGAGGTGGGGCACGGTGGAACCACTCCGACCAGGAACCATCGTAAATAGCCACATCACGCTTGCCACACAGGAAGGCTGCCAAGGCAATGTGACATGCAGTGACACCTTTGCGGCAGGTGGCTGCCAGTGGCTTTGAGAGATCCACTTTCTTCTCACGGAATATTTCTTGGATCTCCTCTATACTCTTCTCATGGCCAGATTCTGTTAGAAATGATTGGAAAGGTATGTTCACCGCACCAGGGATATGACCAGATTCCAGCCCTACAAGAGTGAACAAGAAAAGGAAACATGAGCAAGGAGACATAAAGGTAAGTGATGAAAGACACCTACAAAACAGACATGAAAGAGACACCACTGCAGATACTCCCACTTTCTCGAAGATACTAATTTGGTTTTGGTGCTGATGAAGATGCAGAGCAGTACAGGGCTAAAAAGAGGAAGACAAAGATTACTCAACTTAAATCAAAGGTTCCAGATCAGTTTGCAAACTATTTCCCCCTTGACAGCAAGCAGAGGCAGGAATCAGAGCCCCAGATGGGACAAGAATCAAAGAACCACCACAGAAAAGATCCTAACAAAGCCATTACAGGATCTGTGCAAAGAGCAATGCAGCAATGCATTTCGGACCTTTCCCAAGTAGAGTGTAGTGACACAGCTTTCAGAAGCAGGAAGTGTGGCTTGTATGTGGAATTCATGAAAGCAGTTACCTGTTCACAGTTTATTCCTTAAAATCATATTTGAGAAAAGCAAAACAACCTTTAAGGCAGCCACATTACTGCTGAGGCAGCTATCCCAGGGAAACGGGGTCAGAGAAGTGAGAATATAGATTTTGTATCACTTTTTATCCACTCCATGGATGAAATCAACATGGGTTCTGTTTTTCTGCTGCTGCACTTCAGGCAAGCTGGAAGTTGCATCTCAAGAACAAGGTCTTTAGAAAGAAGCAGATATAAAAACATGACGGATATGATTTTCATCACATCCTTGAAATTCACACTCTGTCACTATAGGCTTAACCAAAGTCCATTACACTCAGTAGAAGCTTTTCCACTGACTTTGAAAAGTTTTGGATCAAGGCTCATCAGAGCAGGAAATATACCAAAAATGTATTTCAGGGAATTTCCTTGCTAGGTTTGAACTTCTAATGAGACAGCCCTAGGAAAGTCACATAAATACTAATCTTTCACTGACAGTTTTCCACTTGCCTAAGTCATCAGGGTAACTGATCTCAAGAGATGAGAGAGATTGAGGCAGGGAACCTTGGTCACAGTCAAATGATTAAAGTACACCTAACTGGAGACTGACATCACACATCATAACGACACTGCAGTTTAGAGATATGTCATAAGGGGAAAACATGTTTTTGATGCGGTACTGAGGAGAGGATTTTTGCTCTGCTGGACAAAAACTGAGGGCCTAAAGACAATCAAAGTTGCCCTGAGTCAGCTTCACAACATCTCTCCCTGTTCCAGATGGACCCTCTTTGTCTCTTGATTCATCCTCCCAGAGTACCTTAGAAACCTGTCACTGTAGTCTATTAGCCACCTCACACATTCTTCAGAAGTGTTTATCATTACAGGGAGAAGCTGGGAGAAAAAAAACTGCTGACTTCTGGAGGGACTAACATAAAAAAAGAATCCCAAACAACCCACCAACAAAAAAAAGGCAGTGTTTTCGACCAATGCTTTTATCACATCTTCTCCATTTCCAGAAAACAACAGTTCATCATTTCAGTAGAGAACTGCAAAATCCATGCTCATTAATACAGTGTTTGTATGACAGAGGGGAAATAACAATAATACAAATAACGAGTGGGAAAAAACCTTGTTTGCAGTTCTCAGGCTGCAGAACTTCTTATTGGAGAACTACATGCCTAGGTTAAGCTACCACCTTCCCGCAAGAATAAATGGTCCCAATGCTGTCATTTGGCAAGGGATTTCTGCAAGACTGCTGCAGTACTGGAGACCATCCCAATACAGACAAGTCTGTGAGGCACAGAACAATGCTCTCACACCATTCTGGGGCACTGGGAAGTGTATCAAGATCAAGAAGTCCTTAGGGCTGAACTAGAAGGGCTGGTTCAAAGAAGCTTGCTGTGACACCGATTTAATTTTTAAGTGTCCCAAGCCCCATGGTCATGATTGCTTTTCTAGACTGTTCACACATCTTAGGTAGTCTTACTGGAGACTGTCGTGACACACCATCCTTAAACAACTCTTAGTTAGGAGCTGAGCAGATCTGAAAAGATCTGTCTCATTTTACAGAGTTTTTGTCTTTGATCTATAGAAAGATTTCCATGCTTCAGAGATTCAAAAGCCTGTTGGAGTCACAGACCAGTGCTTGCACTCTCTGAGTGAAAGATAAGGAATTCTGTAGAAGATGTATTTACTCATGTATGTGGGTGTTCAGCTGAAAGAAAGAGCTGACATTGCATAACCACAAACCCTTGGACTGCCTAAAAAGTGCTCTTGAGTGGTTGAGGAAGTTTCATCAGCTTGTTCGTTTCTAGGACAAGAGCAGAGAAACACAGGACTGGAAGGTAAGGATGGATGCATCTGGGATCTGAACAGGCAAGAGGATGCATCTGCTCCTGCCTCACGTCCACAGAGTACACTCCACACCAGATTTATGTAGTCATCCTCAGAAACTCCAGGAAGGAACCCTAGGATTACAGAGCCTGGCTCCCAGCTACTACAGTGATCACCTTATAGGCTTTCTCTCATAAAAGCACCCTTCCCAGAACCCGTCTGGATTCTTGCCATGAAACTTCCCACTGAGGCACCTCCTTGCCCACGTGAGGAAGAACATTAATTTCCAACATTAAGTTCATCACAGTCAGTCCATACACCATTTGACCTTGAGTTAACATTGCCCTATGACTGAAATAGTTTTTCTCCCTTTCTACTACCACTACAACATGCTGATAGTGAGCACTTAGGACTCCCAACAGCCTTAGTCTAAACCCAGTAAGAAATCACAGCCAGGCTTTTCTCTGCCTCAGCCACCCCAGAAATAGTTCTAGGTGACCATCAGGCTTTTGGGTAAGGAAGTGACATTTCCTAGCATCTCAACTGGTAGACAAGAGGTTAAAAATTGCCATTTTCAAGGCAAAATCATATTTGAGTTCATTGCAGCCAACTAATCCATCCAAGTCTTACCCTATTCTATTGCTTCCAAATGTAGGGTCTTCAGCTTGTAAGAGAAACACATGCAATTAAGTATTTCAGGGTACTAAGCATCCAACCTTGCTCTCTGTAGCATTGAACCTCCTGTCAATTCTATGACTGCAGATGGTACCTCACATAATACTCCCCATGTGATCATTTAAACCTCCCCAAAGCTGTGCCAGCAGCACATTTCAGTAGCAACTCCCTATTTTCAGTGCCTTGATGATTCAGAAAATATGAAATAAAACACAGAAGCATAATGATGGGGACTGCTGGCAACTTCTAGCCCCACAGATCAGCTTTCAGCACAAACTATTCTTATCTCTCTTATCTCCCATTCAGTCAGGTTTTTTTTTAAAACTAACAGTACTTGTGCTATTTGCCTTTTTCTCACATTGAATTAATAATTATCCCTCGAATATTATGCCCAACGTATTAATGAAGTCCAAATGGAACAACTCTACCTCAAAGGTGCTTCCAATGGCTGGAAGAAAAGATCAGACATAACTTCCAGGCATGCATGTTCCCATTTCTCTTACCTGGCAAATCAATTCTGTTGGCAAGGAAATAGAGCCCTTAGCTGCAGTGTATTGGGATACCAATAAAATACTAAGGTATTTTATTCAATTTTGCCTTAATTTAAAATAATTTTCCTTGATTTTTTTTTTTTTAAAAAAAACCTTCCAATCTATTCATGTTAGGATTACAGATCAACAGCTGCCTAGGTCATGCTGTACCTCTTATCCTAAATACAAACACAAACTTTGCCAGTTTCTGGCCTACAGAACCATCCTCTGATTAAATTTATTAAATTCTTGCCTCATGGAGTTGCAATGTCAAGTGACTGATTTTTGACACAGATTTGGGATGGAGATCATCTGCATCACAGATTTGAGCACATGGATATATTTTGGTTATACTTCCTCTTTAGAAATTATAATCTCCACTTCTTTCCCCTTCTTGCCACCTCTCTCTTTACTCTGAAGACTTATCCTCAGGAGGAAAAAACTAAACAAAAAAGGTAGCACAGACTCTGTAATTCTGAGGCTGTATACAAATAATCTTTCAGCTGGAACCCCTGCTAACTCCATAGCAACCCTATTTACTCTTTCTCTCCTTGTCCTCTTTTTATTCGCTTTGCTCCAGCAGGTTCTGTTATTCGTTTTAATTCCTTTTGCCAAGCCTCGCTCAGCTTGGCTTCTGGCAATCCTCCCTCGTAATTTGTAACCTGTAGTATGTTATCTTCTTCACTGTTTAATCCCCTTTTCCACATCTGTTAAGATTCTCTGCTTAAACGTTTGTTGGCATTTTTTGTTGGCTATTTATCTAGGTATGACTACAGCTCCTTCTCTCTAGCCTTTCTCTTTACAATGAAAGCTCCAGATGGAATTTCTTAATGTCAAAAAGATAAAAGATGTGCCTTGTCCACATTTAATTCCCTGTGGTTTTGGAGTTGGCTAGCTGCAGCTAGCAGTTCCTTTCCAAATGCCTCCTCTGTCGCCTCCTTTTTTTCTCTCTCCCTTCCATTCAAATTGCATGCCTCGGAAGGAACCATCAGCGATCTCAACTAACCTACCGTAATCTCATCAGAAGGAACACTTTAAACTTGGTCCTGGCAAGCTCTCTGAGAGTCCTCGCAGTCAGATCACGTTGCCACCACCGCCAAAATACTGCGTGCATACACAGCCAGAAGACTCAACTCTAAGAACCAGTAGGGCCATAGTGCTAATTCTAGCAGCTGATGCTTGTCCACCTCGTCACATGAATGGACAGCTTTGGACTGTAGGTTCCTGTGGGTTGAAACAGACTTTGGTGAAGTCTCTCACTCTCCATGTTGTGCTTTGAGTCATGGTCAAAGTAGAGCCAGTCCACTCCCAGCTGCAGACCCCACTTGGAGAAGAGAGGGAAGAAGCAGCAACATTTCTTTCTCACTCCCACGGAACGTTCAAGCTGAGCAAAAGCCTTATGTTTGGGGCAGGGAGGAATGAGAGCTGGGAAAACAGGCAAAACCTAAAGAGTTGTGTATGTGCAAGGGAGACAAAGACTACCTGAGGGCTGAGAACGAGAAGAAAAATAGTGGGAAGCTCATGAAATGACTTTGACTTTGCTTTCTTTTCTACAGGATGGATTTCTTGCTTGGCTACTTTCCCCTCTTCTCTCAGGTTTCTGAAAAGGAATTCAAAAATTCACAACTTTCTGGTATGTATTTGTTCACCTATAATTCTTGTTCCTTTGTTTGCAGTGCCCAGCACTCAGAGAGAGTCAGCACTGGTAACCACCATGTAATTACTTTTATCATTTGCCACCTGGATTGCCTGGGATTGCTTCACTTTAGGCTGGTCACACAGACATGTACCCTACAGTGCCTGAGTAACCTGGTTGGACCATTGCTGAATCACAGCTAATGAGCGGGCTCGAGTTGCTAGTTCCCTCAGAAACACAGAACACCGTGCAGGGACACCTTTAACCACTCAGTGCAAAGGTCAGGGCTGCACATCTGATTGGCTTATTGTGCACACCATGCATGAACATCCAAGCTTTTTCATTCAAAGCAATACCTGCATTTTTCTGCACCCTATCAACCTGGGTAAAGCTCTCCCAGCAACTAAAAAATGACCATGTATTATGGCTTATTTTAAACTCTAGGTCTAAATCCCAGCAAGGTATCCGCTACATAAAAATAAAACAGAGACAACTGATTCTTACCACAAGGAACTGAAAAACTAAAGAGGCAAAAGAGTCAGCTGAAATTAGCCTCTTAGCCTCTTCTAGAGATGGAGTTCATGGAACTGGAGAGATTAATTGACTTAATTAGGAAGTCAAGAGCTGAGGCAATAATTAAACTGAAATCACCTGAGAACGCAGCAAGTTCCTTAACCTCAAGACCATTCTTCTCTGAATTGCAGGCAAGGTTTCTCCTCCAACTGGATGACCCCTGTAATTAATCAGCATTGATTTCAAATTGCTCTTTTAGGTGTAAGCACTCCCTTCTACCCACTGCTGGCTGCAGCATAGCTACTGCCTAGGCTGGTTCAGAATGCTGTCAAGCTCCTCTGGAACAAGCAGCTGCAGCTGGAATGCTTATCCTGTTGGATCTGCTGTGGGAAGCAAAACTGGACCACCACAAATAAAACTGTTCCATGCTGACTCATTTCAAAAGAAAAATCTGTTTTCAAGAAGTTGTCAGGGGCTGCAGTGTTTGTCACCTGGTGAGAGCTCCTGCTTTGGGAAAGAGAATGCAAAATCCACCAGCTCCTAGGGAGGAGTGTTTTATTTGTGACTTGAGGTTAAAATTCAACCTTCACTTTGACGGGCTGCAGTAGACAAAGAAACAGAATGAGTGATAAGCCTAACTCCCCCTCTCTCAATGCAACAGTCTCCTCTGTCACTCCCATTACCTCTCTTACCTTCTGCATTGGCTTGCACAGGTTGAGTGTGTTTGGGGGGAGGGGGGCTCACTGTAGACACTTATGCAAACCACGTGTACAGAGCCATTTACAGCCAAATGCTCCTGAGGTTTGGATGTGGGAATTATTTCAGGCCATGGAGTCATGCTCAATGGCTATACAGCTGCACTCATGTAAGACAACAGCCAGAACTGAATGACAACCAACCTGCAGGCCAGCGCAGCACTGCCTAAGGACTGCAGAAGCCTGCCACACACCTGCTCCTGCAGCATGGAGCTTGACTCAGACCCAACAACTCTCATTGAGCTTTTCTGTGCTTTGTTTTGGAAACTCTGGTTTTTTTTTTTAAGCTATTTCTGTGACTTCCTTTCAGAGGGGAGGCTATTCCGGGATATACCAAGGCTTAAATTACACAGTTAACGACCTCCTTTAACAACCAACTTGAATTTCATTCCAGGCACACTGCTGCACCAGCTGTCCCCACTGCAGAGGACTTCTCCCACGCCTGCTGCTTCCATGTCCAGTGTTTGACCCAGGTAACAGAATCAATTTTTGTTCTGGCTTCTTGAGGCAGCCAAAACAGAGACCTTGACAGCCCATACATTTGGTAAAGATCTGGGGCTTTTCTTACTGAAGCAAAAGGACAAAGAGCAGCTCAAGGAAGTTTTCTGTTTGCTGGGAATCAGAGCAAGAAGGACAAAGTCCTTTGGGCTACTGTACTGCCAAAGCCTGGACTTTTGCTGGCGCATTCATTGCGGTGAGAGGTGCCTATATGAATAGTGATCATTTATGCACGTGTGCTAGTGTAAGACAGGCCACGGAACAAACCCCTGGGAGCTCTCACCTCCTGTGTTTACATTCTGTCTGATTACTTCTGCAGGGTGTGGACTGGGGGATCCTGGAGCCAACTGACTGCAGACCTTTGCTACTATTTCCTCCTCCAGCTTTAAAACCAACCACAAGGAAAGCGTTCTGTGGGGGCACTGGGATCTGAATGCCCAACTATGGATCCCTTAAGGTAAATCAACAAAGTTAGGCTAAGGCATGACTGTTTGTTAGCAAAATCCATTTGCTGGCTGGGAGTCGTTATGCCCAGGCTCATATTAACACTCATCCATCCCACTTTGGTGCGCGGGGTGGGTGCTGTTCCCACCTCCATTACCTTGGTCCAGCTCGGTCCCCCGGAACCGGCCCTCGGGGCGGGAATCCACCACCTGGAACTGCAGGGACCCCACATTCTGTATCATCTCCTCAAAGGTCTTCAGCAGGCCCGTGTTCAGCTTGGCCTTAAAGACAGCCGGGGGGGGCTGGCTGACCTCCGCTGTGACGGGATGGCCCTCCTTCACCCAGTTCTTGAAACCACCATTCAGCACCGAGACCTCCTTGTGCCCAAACACCCGGAACATCCACCAGGCACGGGGGGCATACAAGGTGCCCAGCTCGTCCCCGTCATACACCACCACATGGGTGCTGTTACTGACCCCCAGGCGCCCCACGTAGTCGGCGAAGTGGGATGCGCTAGGCAGCATGAAGTCGTAAGGGGAGGACTGGTCCCGGCACACCTCGATGTCAAAGAAGGACGCCCCGGGGATATGCCTCTCCTTGAACTCCTGCCGGGCGTTTCGCTCCTGCGGCGGGTACCAGGAGGCGTCCAGCACCCGCAGGCTCGGCCCGACCCGGCCGGCACGCACGGCCTCCGAGAGCCATTTGGCGGTGACCAGCGGCCGGCTGAGCACCTGCGACGCCATCTCGGACCGCCGAGGCCAGGAGGGGGCGCCGCTAGCGGGGACTCACGCACAAAATGGCGGCGGCGGCAGGGGGACGCGGGTCGAGGGGCGGTGCGGGGCCGGGTGGCACCGCCCGGGACCGGCCTGCTGGGAGGGTACCGGCTCCCGCCTCCCGGTGGCGGCCATGGCTGGGGGGGATTGAGGTTTGGCGCTGTTCGGCTGAGGCCTAGCACGGAGGTACGGGGCGGTGTGGTGGGCCGGTCGCGCTCCCCTGAGGGGAGGGAACCGCTGCCCCGCCGCCGCTGGCGTTGGGGGTGTCCGGGGCGGGAGGAGTCGCGGCAGAGGTCCTGCCTGCGTGAGGGGCGGCAGGGCCGCTGTCGGAGCTCGGCTGGAGGTGTGCTCTGGGAAGGGCGATATGGTCTAGTGTGAGGTGTGCCTGTCTATGGCAGGGGGCTGGAACTAGATGATCTTAAGGTCCTTTCCAACCCAAACCATTCTGTGAGTCTGTGATTCTATGGTGACAACGGTGGGGCAGAGCCCCCTCGTTGTGAGGCTGTTTCTCGGACCGGGGCATTTGGTCCCCTCCGATAAGGGTCCCTGGCACTGCCCCAGGCACTGCCCCACTTCCCTCTTGCTGCTGTCAGTGCTGCCTGATGGTTGCTGGAGGGCTGAAGTGGGCTACGGGGAGATGTGTGGAGGGCAGCGCTGTGCCATGGCTGTCATGCTCGGGGCAGTGTTTGGGCTGAGCTCTGTGCAACTTCTTTTCAGGGCTGGAGCATTTCAAACCACTCTCTGTAGGCTTAGCCAGCACCTCAGTGCAGACACAGGTTTCTGTTCCCAAAATGCATCTTCATCTAGTTCCTTTTTGTAAGGCTGGTTTCTCATTTGTGCTTTTCCTCATTTTGCAGTGTGGTCAATTCAAGCAGACCCCAGAAATCAGGTAATCTTGGCCAAGACTCAGGAGCAATGTCGCAACAACTCCTCTACCGTGCTCTGGTGTCTGCAAAATGGCTTGCAGAAGCCATCAAGTCCCAACAAGCTGGTCTGGCCTTGAGAATCTTGGATGCATCCTGGTATTTGCCAAAGATGAAGCGTGACCCGAAGCGGGAATTCGAGGAACGCCATATCCCTGGGGCAGTTTTCTTTGACATTGACCAGTGCAGCGACCGTACTTCACCTTATGACCACATGCTGCCCAAAGCTGATGACTTTGCCGAGTATGTGGGGAAGCTGGGTGTAGGGAATGATTCCCATGTTGTGGTGTATGATGGCAGCGACCAAGGCCTCTTCTCAGCACCCCGGGTGTGGTGGATGTTCCGGGCCTTTGGACATGAAGCCGTCTCCCTTCTGGATGGTGGCCTGAAGAACTGGCAGCGAGAGGGGAATGCGCTGAGCTCTGGGAAAAGCCACGTAGCTCCCTCTGAGTTCCATGCCTCCTTGGACAAGTCCCTGGTGAAAACGTATGAGGACGTCTTGGATAATTTGGATTCCCACCGCTTCCAACTAGTGGATGCACGCGCTGCGGGACGATTTCGGGGAGTAGAGCCAGAGCCCCGAGATGGTAATGTGCCTTCTGAGATATTGGCATAATAAAAAGGGGCTTCATATAAGGTACCCATCAGTTTGACTCCTGTAGAAGTAATGAAGAGAAATATGGTTGTCTTTTATGGGGTGGGGCTGGAGGCAGTGTATTCTCCTGCCCTCTTCTCCTTCTGATAGCGAGTGCCACTCTGAAAATTCAGGAGTGGAGAAGAAGTTTGTTTTTTTCTCATGAGGGGCTGGGGTGAGGAACATGTCTTTCATGCACTTCAAAAATACTCATTGGTCTCTTCATGTACTGGTGCTACTCTTCCCCTCAGAACGGCTTTTAGTCAGTGTCATATTAGGGTGAGTTGCTCAGATGCCCTGAAGATGTGGAGGAAGAACAGAACTTTACAGGTTTGTGTCTATGTGGTGACTGAAGGGTAGAGCCATCCTTCCTGAGTAATCGGTAATCTAGTAAAGCAAAGGGTTGGTTTTTTTTTAAAAAAAAGAAGTATTTGTTTTAACAGAATACACTAAACAATAAATATTCCTCCCAGTAAAAGGGAGAATGGGTTTTGCAATAGATTTGTCCCAGGCAGTAGAGGTTAATTCCTATCTGTATTGCTTCTCCTCCAGGAATTGAGCCTGGTCATGTCCCTGGGTCGACGAGCATCCCCTTCACTGATTTCCTGACAGAGTCTGGCTTAGAGAAGACCCCTGAGCAGATCCGCAGTCTGTTCCAGGAGAAGAAGGTGGACCTCTTGAAGCCACTGGTAGCCACGTGTGGCTCTGGTGTCACTGCCTGCCATGTGGCTCTAGGGGCATACCTCTGTGGCAAACCAGATGTTGCTGTGTATGATGGGGCCTGGGTGGAATGGTACATGCGGGCACAGCCTGAAAACATTATTTCTGAGGGAAAAGGGAAGACAGTGTAATAAGCTGCTTCATCTTCCAGCTCTGCAGATAAATTTGCCTTGAAACAGGATGTGGAGAAGATGGGTTTAGCATTCCTGGTTAAGTAACTTGAGGTGAAGGTTTTGGGTACAATTATGGACACACGGTGTTTGGCACTTTCTCCTTACTCTACTGCTGCTGCCCAGGATGATAAAAATGACCTGGGCAGCCAGTTTCTGGTGGGTTAAGCCCAGCCGGTAACTCAGAACCATGCAGCCTTTCACTCACCTTTGCCTCCTTCTCCCTCTGCACCACTCTGGTTGGCATGGGGAGGAGAATCGAAAGAATGTAAACCCTACGAGTTGAGAACAGTCCAATAACTAAAGTATAATGTAAAACTACTAATAATGATAAGGGAAATAACAAGGGGAGAGAATATAAAACTAAAATGAGAAAGGGAAAAAACCCACAAACAATAAACACCAGTGATGCACAACACAAGTGCTCATCACCCGCAGACCAATACCCAGCCCAACCTGAGCAGCGATCAGTCACTTCCAGGTGACTCCCCCTAGTTTATATACTGGGCATGATGTGCTGTGGTATGGAATACCCCTTTGGCTGGTTTCAGTCAGGTGTCCTGTCTCTGCTTCCTCCTGGCTTATTGTGCCCTTCCTCACTGGCAGAGCATGAGACTGAAAAGTCCTTGAATGGAGTAGACATTACTTAGCAACAACTAAAACATTTGTGTGTTACCAGTGTTGTTCTCAGACTAAAGCCAAAACACAGCACTGCACCAGCTACTGAGAAGGGAAAAGTAACTGTTACAGCTGAAACGCGGACACAGCTCTAGGTGACCCTGCTAGAGCAAGCAGGGTGAACCAGATGTCCTCCCTTCCAACCTCAGCCATTCTGTGACACTCAGACCTTTTTACCATATCACATAGAAGGGAGAGAGTGCTGGTGATAGCATGGGGAAGTAACTGAGTCAAGCCAAGCTCATGACTCAGGGCATTGCACCATGTTCACTCACAGAATGATCATACTTTTATAACTGTGCCTCATGATCCTGCTCTCTGCCATTGTCCTAGAAGCCATCCATGCACTTTATGGCCACTTTGAATGCAAAACTTTGGGGAAGGACAGCTGTTAAAGGAGCAAATACGGCTTTCAGGTTGGCACTTAGGTAAGAGACTTGGTTTGGATGCCTTCTTGCACTTGGACTTGTAACTGTAGTGTGTACTTAGCTAGTTTTGTACCCTCGTGGTCCAAAATTCCCCTTGAGAAAAAACATTCTGGGATTTAAAAAGGGTAAATAAACATGTGTTTCAAGGTCTCTCTGCTGAATGGAACTTTCGTAAGTGTTGCTTGGGTGATTCCTTTTCTGGAAT